TAAAAGCCTCCAAAGAAGGAGCCTCCACCACACTTCAGGGCAGACAGTTCCACTGCTGAATAGCTCTAACACGTAGGAAATACTTCTTCATATTCAGGTGGAATCTCCTTTCCTGTAGTTCGAAGCCATTGTTCCGGGTCCTAGTTTCCAGGGCAGCAGAAAACAAGCCTGCTCCATCTTCCCCATGACTTCCCCTCACATATTTAAACATGGCTCTCATCATGTCTCCTCTCAACCTTGTCTTCTGCAGGCTAAACATGCCCAGCTCTTTAAGCCACTCCTCATTGGGCTTGCTCTCCAGACCCTTCATCATTTTAGTAGTGTTTGTATATGCCTATGATCCAGAAATGTATTTAAAAACCTTTTAAAATACAGCTATAGGTTGTAATCTCTACTATGTATTTTCACATGGCTTTGTTATCATAAGTAATTGTTTTAATATAGTGTTTATGGCCCTGGGATGAGTTGATGTAAGGCAATTCTAGTAGGCTAGCCAACAAATCTTTCATAACACAGAAATGTTCGCTTTTAACTCTAATATTCCACACAATGAATGACTCAATGCATCACTCCAAAACTCACTGCTTCCCCTTGTGTGTTCAAACCACAAGATAGTTTATTTATATCATGTCTTATGTTTCTGTTCAGCTGAAGAGCAGCGTCCAGTGCATGCCAATATTCTATTTTCTCAATATACCGTGAGGTCTTTCTTAAAGCCTTATATGAAGCTACAAGTTGTTTTTCAAGGATGGTAAAAGAGATTTTCTACATATGTTGGTTGTTTTGTTAGATGAATATCTTAGAGAATAGAAGTGTAATGAACGAACAGAAAATTAGTATGATGTATGCCAAGATGACATGATGCAGAACAAAATGTATTTACATACATAAAGTTGTTTATTAATAAATGTTAGTTTAAAGCTGAAAATTGACTTTCACAGAAGGAGAAGAGTAAAAAATAGCAACATACACGCTGCTATCCAATATAGCAACTGAACTGTGTGTCTTCTTAACCAATCATATGATTCCATGAACAAAGCCTCTGTATCATGGCAAATATAATACAATTTGAGCCTCAACTATATATTTAATAAAGGAAGAAAGGAATAAGGAATACAGGGCAGAAGCAGAAGAGATATGAGTGGGAAAGAAGAACAGTAGAGGGGACAGGGATCCTTTTTTATAGGTTTTTCCATCTATTTATTTATCGTACCAGGAACAAACAAAGGGTACAGTTGTAATGTATTTTTAAAAACCACAAAGTTTAAAAACTTGGCATTATATTAAATGTGCTTGGACCAGTAGCTTGGAGTTCCTCAGGTGTTGATGCAAGAAGGTCCTCGATTGTGCATGTAGCAGGGCTCAGGCTGCATTGAAATAGGTGGTCTGTGGTTTGCTCTTCTCCATAGTCGCATGTTGTGGATTCCACTTTGTGACCCCATTTCTTAAGGTTGGCTCTGCATCTTGTGGTGCCAAAATGCAATCTGTTCAGCGCCTTCCAAGTCACCTAATCTTCTGTGTGCCCAGGAAGGGGTCTCTCATTTGGTATCAGCTATGGGTTGAGTGAGGTTCCGGATTTTAGCTTGCCACTTTTGGATTCTGGCTTGTTGAGGTGTTCCTGTGAATATCTCTGTAGATCTCAGAAAACTATTTCTTGATTTAAGATGTTGGTTTCACAATAATTGCATGTAACAAAAAAAGAAACAAGTTCCAGAGAATTGAACAAGAAACACGTTATCTAAGGGATTCTGGAACTAGGTGGTCCATGATGCATCACAAAAATCAATCAAAAACAAAACGAAAAACACCTTTGGAGTGGATTCAACATTTCTTTAAAATGCTTCCTTTACTTTCTTGTTTCTTAATATGAGCTTCTGCTTATTTAGAAAAGGGCACTGCCACAATACTTAATTCTTCATGTTGGTGTTTTTTTTTTTAATGCGAACTAACCAAAAGCTAAATGAGGAAAGCCTATTGCTAGGATTATGGCAAAATGATTAACACTTATAAAGAGAATTGTTTGTTCTGCTTTACAGAATTTTCTGCAAACAACTTGTGCATTGACCTATTTTTCTTGTAACTAAGAGACCAAAAAGTCAAGGGGCTGTGCTTCATCTCACCATCCCCTTTTCTACCACCTTTTCACTAATTGCCTCTGGGAACGCAAGAAGGGAATGGCAGTTCAGAGTTTAGAAGTCCCTAATGAATTCCAGCTGTGATGTATCTCCACACAAAGCCCCTTTTCTCACACCTCTGATCTCTGGAAAAGAAGCACTAGTCTGTAGAAATCTGCCCTTTTGCTCTGTGAAGTATATTCAAAAGTAATTGTACTTAAAGAATCACAGAACTATGAAGAAGAAAGGAGTCTTAAGTAGTATCGATTTCCATACTTATAGCTAGAAATGTGAGTATATGTATCAGGAAGAGATCTCAGTTGTATACCTGGAAGGTGAAACCACCTTCCTTTTCATTTCCATGCCTAGTTATGGAAGCTTGTCATATTTCATGAGCTGTTACATTTTTGCCCACAAAGGCACAGATACATTGATTTAGTTCACACATTTAGATATTGGGACAGCATTGAAATCGTATATACTCCTTCTCCATCCTTCAGCCCTTTAATTCCAGCACTCAGAAACCTCTCTTATATCTGACATAAACTTCATATCTCCTTAATTTTGACTCACGAACTCATTCAAGACATTCCACCAGAAGTTCAGCAACTTCCACTCTACCAAAAACTATCAGCTGAACAATTTCACTTTCTGGGCACAACAGGCACCTAAGGACCTACTGTATCACAAACCTTTGACTGCTTACATGCCTCCAGTTTCCACCCTGAACACACTACCAAAACTGTAGTACACAGTCAAACTGTCCAATGCAATAAAAGAAAAGCAACCAACCATGGCTCCAATGGTGATAAATGTCTTGGAAGCAATCCTGAACAAATTGACAATGCATCTCAAAGAAATTGCCATAATAATACAATTAGAAAAAGTGCCACTACTTGGAACATACCATATAAGCTGACAATATCTTAATATCTCTTAAGATTCTTTGACAGAATTTAAATCATTCATGGCCCAAAATTCCAATAACACCTGGTAGACTGTGAAACAGAGATAATAATAGATTGTCGGTAGCAACTCATTCATCCATAATGTTAGATACCTCAGTATTTGACAAGAATATTTTTGCTTGTCATTGGAGATGAAGTTTCAGCTCAATATTTCGAAAGAGACAAAAACAAAAAAGCTTGTTTTTTCAAAGCCATTTAACCATAATATTCTACCACTGAGCGCATTAGCCATTTTTTCTTCTAAAAATCCCATGTCAATTAAAAGAAGCGAGGTGCCAATGGTGGTGGCTTGGGTAGAACAATTACCTATGGCACATCACAAACCTTACACTGAGGCAAACTGTGTATGTAAATGAACACTATGGACAACCTACAATGCTATTGCTGAAAAGCAGTCAGCTATTCTTACTGATCTACTTTAAATCACTGAAATCACCAAGAGATCATGATCTACAACACTGCTTTTAAATCAAAGTTGTTTAAGGCTATCGAAACAAGAGTTACAATAAAAACATTAAGATGGAATTTAACTTTTAAATGAATGTATCTAAAATGGCTTATGGCAATACATGTAGAAAATGTTGGGGATGTGAAAAGAAATGTCAGTACAAATTTTTCAGAAAAGCACATCTTCCACTGCCTTAAACACATGGCTTTTCTTGCTAGTTCACAATTAAAGCTTCACTACACAATCAGGTTATTAAGACATTGTTGAATGCTTTCACAGCCTTAATCACTGGGTTGCTGTGTGTTTTCCGGACTGTATGGACATTACTTGTGATAACAATGCTACTACTCCAAATAAAGTGTTTTCAGATTTGTAATTCACACCCTTTTATATGGTAAATAATTCTTAAAACAGACTTGAAAACTTAAGGACAGAAAGTGATGCACATACTACACCTATAAATGTTATTTTAAAGTGTATTAGCTACACAAAAATAATTGTATTGATATACATTTTAACTTTGTTTCTAGTGACTTAAAGTCACTTAAAGTTTACAGGCACTGAAACCAAAGCATGCTAAATATAAACAGTACTTTGTGGGTAAATTGAAACAGATGCTTTTCACAATGAAACATTCATAGAATTGACCTTAATCAGTCTTAAAATCTAGTATTACAGCGATAAAAATCCAAAAGTAAACTCAAACAAAAAGCCTTTTGTTTTATCAAAGAAACAGCAACACAAAATGTTGCTTCTGCATAACAGAAACTTCCCTTTTGTATAAAGTGTGAAACACGCTCTAACCATCATAACACTTTAGCAATTTTCTACTCTTTTTAAAACATGTGTTTGAATATTATCAAAGCTAGGAAATAATAATGCTAAGAAATATAATTAAAATTACATATTGCTGCCCCCTTCAAACCTTGGGCACGAGGAGAAAACTCTAACAACTAACATAAATGAACAGATTATAAAATAGCATTTGGATATATGTTAATAAACAATTCTTAATTAAATATTTCTAATATTTACATTTAAAAAATCCTCTTTAATAAAATTTATATTCCCCCCGCCCCACATGTAATTGTAAAGCTACTGACAGATAGGGATCAACAATGTGAGTTTCTATATGGGAATTCTTATTTTACAATTTTATTATTCCTCCTCTCTGTCAAAACATAGATATCAGACTTCAATGTTGTTCAGTTCTTACCCAATAGAATTCTATAATAAATGACAGATTGCTAAAGAAGTTTCATAGCTATGTAATCTATTCCATATGCTGCCAAGATATCATTAATTTTAAAAACCTACACAATTTTAACCCTTTCTTTTCTCGCACAACTGAAACTGCCAGCAGAAGAGAGAAAACTTAGAACACCAAAGGATCAAGAGGATGGAGAGAATCAAAAGCAACCAATGAAAAGATCAAACTTGGTTTACCAAAAGAAGGAGCAAGGAACGTACCGTGTCTTGAGATTTATCCTTGACATCATAGACTGTTAGTTTTATTTTAGTCTCCTCATAGATGGGGTAATCCGGTGGGAACGTCACACCAGTCAAAAACAGTGGGTCTCTTGTTCCCTGCATAGCACAAGCACATAACTCAGATTTAGCAAGGTAGCAGCTGTGAACCATGTTGCTTTCAATTATGGTCAACTGCACAATAGCTTTGGGATTTTCCAAATGCAGTATTTCTGACACAGCAAAGGCAGATCTGGATAGCCAGGACCAGAAACACAAAATGCAGTAGTTCCCAAACTGCAGAGAAATGTTTCACAGAATACAGAAGTTGAGTTCATGACCACAGACTGCTCCAGGCGATGATGACGTCATATACAGCAGAGCTCCTCTAATTAAGAACAGCAATTCATTCATTCATTTATAATTGAAGCCATGGAAATCTGCATGTACTTTCTTTAACTAGGCACATGTTATAATTCATGCAAAAGGATTAAAAATATGGGAGGCACTAAGCAGAGGCAGAAATAGTTTCCTGGGAACTGTAGACCAGAGCGTTCAAGTTTCCTTCTTTCACTTTCATACAGAGACTTTTGTATCTTTATCCAGGTGCAGAACTCTTGATCCTCCTGTTCAATCAATATAGTAGTAAAAAAGTGGCTTCTCACTAGAAAAGTTGTAATTTAAACACACAAGTTTGGACCCTAATACAATCTGGAGATATTTTAACAACAATTTGATGCTTTACCTTCAAACATCTGAACAATATTTGATTTATTTTAGAGAACAGGAAAAAAAGTATAAATTTAACTAAAAAATGACTCATGGCTGAAATGTTCTTGTATGTTTATATTATATGGACACGTGATTTAACTTTTCAACCAGGTTCCTTATTCCATAACATAGCATTTCTCCTCTAATACTAATAGAAAATGTGTGCGTGCATGATGTTGCTTAAGAACCACAAAAACTAGGAAATGCTACAGATGGTCTGGAACAAAAGTATTCCAGCGCAGAAAGTGTTCCCTTCCATGAAAAGTTCGAATTGGTTTTATGTCTGCTCCCTCTGTTGACAAGCAAAGACTTCTTTATTTAGGCAAGAAGTTGGTGCTTTAATTATGTACTGAAAGGTGTTTTGAATGTGGTGTGGTGTGCTTTATATGTGTCAGTTTTGTTTTAAATAGGTTTCAAACTGTTTTAGCATTTTACTTTTAAACTTTTTTTTTAAAAAAATAAGATTTTAGTTGGACATTAGTTTCAATTTTTGTAAGCTGATGTGAGTTCCTTGGCAGGGAAAAAGTGAAATAATAAATACAAAGCAAATATAGCCAGTGTAGACCCATATAATGTGTTCAATGTAGTCAAACCGCATTATATGGGTCTATACTAACTATATAATGCAGTTCCAGACTGGATTATATGGCAGTCTAGATCCTGCCCCAGTTACAAGTTACACTTTAAGACACAATTGTACCAATATCAACAAGGACTCATTTCAAATCCCTTCTTGGTGTCTTAATTGTAGAGTATGAAACCTCTCAGGGTGGCTGCAAGGATGAAATGGGTGTGTATGCTCTCCTGTGGAATTTGAAATAAAAACCAGAATATAATATTAAAATGGAGATTTTTTTTGTATCTCCAGATGTATCCCCCCCCCCCTCCTTAGGTCAACAGTTCAGTTTCTGTACTAAAAATTATCATATATAAGTTCTTTTTGGATCCTAAGCTTCACTGTATTTTGTTTAATCATTATACAAAACACAGTATGGTCCTCCTATCATTAGAAGGTTTCATTTATCCACATCTGATAACATATGTCCTCTCTAAGCATTTTATAGATCTAAGGAACAATTCTATGGTATTTTCTTTCATTTAATCCTGGTTTTGTGTATCCAAGCAAAGTCCAGGAACATATCCTCAAGGGATACAAGGTGTGGATTACAATTCTATCATTATACACATTTTGTAGCTGTATAGATGTCATTTGGCTAATGATAACTTTAGATCCCAGGAGTCACTTGGAGATTCCATTTCACAGATTGCTGTATATGCTATTTCCTCCATTGCTGCTCTAAATATGAGCAAAAAAAAAATAACATGCAAGTGAAAAAACATGTAATCTCTAGACATCTGTAGATCCTCCAGAGCTTTTTAAGTGGGTGGCCAGTTCATAGTTCCTCAGACTTTTGGGGGGCAAACTATAGTTTGGAAAAAAAAATGAGCTGATTCCTATACACACTGCACATATCTTATCTGTAATGCAAAAAACAAAAACAAAAGCAGTGAAAGACAAAACAATATTTTAAATGAAGAACAATTTTCAACAACATAAACTTACCCTTCTTTCAATGGGAAGTGTGGGCCTACTTTTGGATTATGAAATAGTCAAATTAATTAGGATTGTTGTTGTGTGCACTGAAGTAATTTCAGACTTAGGGCAAACCTAAGTCTAAAGTTTAGGGCAGGGACCAGGTAAATGACCTTGGAGGGCCATATCTGGTCCATGGGCCTTAGTTTGAGGACCCCTGTTCCACAGCAATACTATGGTATAATTTCATTGGAAGCCAACCACAGAATCACACTGGAAGACCTATAAATACTGATGCAAAATGCTTCTCTAGGCATTTGTAGGTGTCCCAGCATGATTCTATTGTCAATTTCCAGCACAGGTTCACCACAGAAACATGCTATAGAACAGTGGTTCTCAATCTGTGGGTCCCCAGATGTTTTGGCTTTCAAGTCCCACAAATCCTAACAGCTGGTAAACTGGCTGGGACTTCTGGGAGTTGTAGCCCAAAACACATGGGGACCCATAGGTTGAGAACCACTGCTATAGAACCTAGAAATGCCTACAAAAGTGTTCTCAAAGGTTAAAAAATAGAATTAAATGTTTTATTTATATTTGATGCTTTTCCATATATTTTTTTTGCAGGGATCTTGTACCCTCAGCCTCTACAAATGTGGAGACACTGCCTTATTAACAACTTGAGGGGCCACTGGTATCTTCCCAATGAGAGATAAATAATCTAAAATAAAAGCAAAGCAAGATCTCTTGATTTCTACCAGATTCCCATAAACCTTTCTGTAGATTTTACCTTTAATAATTGGTTTCAATAAATACAGCACAACACACCTTCAGGCACTCTGTCCTAATCCATCCCATTTTACAGGCTATTTTAGTTACAGTTTTAGGAGTCAAAGCATGACACCTAAAGTTAGCAGCCAGATCATGCCAAAAACATTCTTTGGATGCATCAGGCAACCTATTTAAACTGGACAAGGTTTCAAGTTCACAGGAGTTTCTAAAATTTTGTTTTGCTTAATATATATTTGTAAAAACTTTGTTTGCAGGATGATAACATGTAACTTTCTTTTTTGCACTAAGGAATCACCTTCATATTCCTCAAGGTAGTATTTTGATGAACAGACAGAGCAGGAAGCCATTTGGTGAAGTCACAGCATGCAACATTTACTGAAATAAGTTAAGGCCATACATATTATCAGTATAAAGAAGAGCATGCATTTTTCATGGACAGAGAAGCATTGTGTTTCAGATCACCGAATACCTATTTCTGTACCAACATTTTCTTCATCAAAATCCCATATTTTAAATCACTTCTATCATTTTTGCTTGATTGTTTTGAGCCAAATGAGAGCCAATAGTTCCTCCAAAGGCTTCCCTTTTAAATATCAAAAGCCAAGCAATTTCTTCTATGTCCTTTTACAGAAACACAACTTTTGCAGACAGCAGCACTGCAGCTGTTTACACTGGTTAAATGCCAAAAACTTCTTGATTTGTTTTATAGTAGCCTTTTAAAAAACACAGGAAGAAAGAATGGCATTTGGTGACTAATGCTGATGGAACAAAAGAAGGAGCTCACCTCCACAATTTCTGTGCTTGCGTATCTTGTCGAATTCTGCTCCCCTGGATGCACCACCGTGATCTGCACAAAAGTATTCAGTTTTCGATCACGAGTAGGAGCCACAAGATCTTTACATCCTGGAAATGGCACAGGAAAAGGAGGGAGAAAAGGGGGGAAATCTCTGTAAAAACGAATCACAGCAAACATATTGCTTTGTGACAGGGCAGACTGAGCTCTGTTTCTGATTTAAATCTTTGCAGACTTTGGCTGATTTAACAGAGGAAGTTTTCTGGAAGTAACTTAGAAAAATAGGCAGTCACATGTTTGCAAGCTAAATTCAGTTTTCATTTCTACTAACCTTCTATGTAGTTCCTGCAAGGCTTGCCGGGGGACTTTCTTCAGTTCTTGTATAAGAATATAACTGAAGATACACATATATGCACATGGATACAGGTTTCTTGCTCACACACCTTTTCTATACATTTTGAATGCGCACACTTCCATTAATATCTCAGGCCACATGCCCAGCATCCTGGCAGATGTATCATAGCCTTCAGATAAATTGCCATGAAATCAATCTCTGGCACCTCAACTTAAGTCATCATTTATTTAACACACTGTATAGCATTTAACTGTTCGAAGAAGTCACATTAAATGCTGCCATTGGCTATGCTGATTTATATGCTTTAGTTTGACATGATAAAATGTGTTGATAAGGCTAATCACAGCTTAAAGCTTCCACTTTAAAATCAGGAGCAAAAACCAACTGCAACAATTGACAAGGTCTTGCCAATTCCTATCCCCTCCCACCCCCACCCCTCCATCCATGAAAGAGGAGTGCAGGTATAAATCCATTTTTGCCAGGGTTATATTTATGAATGTAATCTCTATGTAATCTCTGATCGAAAAGTTGCAGGTTCATATGTGGGGAGTGTCGTGAACTCCCGCTTGTAGCCCCAGCTTCTGCCAACCTATCAGTTCGAAAACATGCAAATGTGATTAGAGCAATAGATACCGCTCTGATGGGAAGGTAACAGCACTCCATGCTGTCATGCTGGCCATATGACCTTGGAGGTGTCTATGGACAATGCCTGCTCTTTGGCTTAAACATGGAGATGAGCACCAACCTCCAGAGTTGGACATGATTAGACTTAATGTTAAGGGAAGACCTTTACCTTTACCTAATTTCTATGTTGAAGTCGTATCAATAGGGGAACTTTGGTTCTTATTATGCCATCTCTTTTAAAGCAAGGGTTGGAAAAGAGTGAACCATTTTCTGCCACTTCTAAAAGTGTTAATTGACTTTCCTGAAGTGCAAAAGGAATGTACATTTTAAACTATTTGTGCTCACATTCTCATTAACTTCACTAAATACCTGCTTCATCTAAATAAAGGGTAGACTTCCCACCATTTCTGTTTTATTCCCTATCTTTAGCAGAATGACATAGGGGCTGAAAAGAGGTGAAAAGCAAAAGTTGCAAAGAGCTTAGAACTGTGTGAATAGCTAATTGTAAATGAATAATATCATCAACAATGTTGCTATGTTTTAGAAAGGATATTCCATTTTCAACATGTCTTGGAGTTCTAGTTTAAGGTACATATTAAACTGTGGCACAGAAGGTTAAACTGCTAAGCTGCTTGCTGACTGTAAGGTCGACGGTTCAAATTCGTGAGCTACTGTTATTAGTCCTAGCTTCTATCAACCTAGTAGTTTGAAAAAATGCAAATTTGAGTAGATGAATAGGTACTGCTGCAGCGGGAAAGTAATGGCGCTCCATGCAGTCATGCTGGCCACATGGCCTAGGAGGCATCTACGCATAACACTGGCTCTTTGGCTTAAAAATGGAGATCAGCACCACCTCCTGGAGTTGAACATGATTAGACTTGATGTCAAGGGGAAACTTTCACCTTTACCTTATGAAATTGACCAATTTCTTCAGCCCTAAAAAACAAATCACAAGCTTATCCGATTGGTATAATATGTCCTAAAATACAAGTTCTCAAGCTAGTCTAAGTGGTGGTACTTGGATTGATGCTGGTCTGCAAGTCACTGGCTGCCAGTCTGCAGTGTTTTTCTAAGACAGAGTAGTTGCAGCCAATGGGCATAAATGTGGTGCCTAACACATAGAGGGAGGGAAATGCCTACACCAGATTACTTAAAAGGACAAACCCAAAAAGAAACACATCTGGTGGAGGCAAGAGCAGCTCATGGACAAAGGAAAAGGAAAGAATTATCCAAGGGGAAGAGTCAAGAAGCCACTTCAGCAAACAATGCACTTGCCTTCAGTTCAAACTCAGCAGTTGAATGATAACATATACACACCAATAAGAGAATGATGAACCTACATGAATACAGTTCATGACTTCAGAAAACATTTCATTTTCTTTGTAGCATTTTGTAGTTCCTTACAGTTGAGTTACCAGTTCTTTATATACGTTAAAAAATAAAATACAAACTTCTGTAACTTATAGGATGTGGGAAATATTCAAGAAAATACAAAACAATGCACTGTAAATATAAAATACTAGAATGAAACAGGTAAAGAATCAGTGACTATAGATTTTACTAATCTATATTTGTTTAAGGTTCTAATTTAAAACTTAGGTCAGTGGTTGCTGTCTGTGATATGATTACTCTGTATTGCCACAACAAATTGGCCAAGTAATAAACATTAACTTGACTTGGCAATTAAAACTGTTTCCACCCCAATTCTGTAAGCTCGGACACAATCTAAATTCACAAACATAAAGTGACAGGAAGCCAACTCGCTTTGGATCAATACGTATTGATGAATAGGTAAGGACAAACCTTTTCAAGTGAAATCAGTGGGGAATGTAACACACATTCGGCTTTTTTATTGGCCATATATCAGACAATATTTGTGTGTATACTACTTGAATTACAATAGTGCCCTTGTCAGGGTTAGGGACTTTAAAAAACCGAAGAGGTACAAACTCATAAAGGGAAAAGCAATGAATGCATCAAGGCCCAGAACAAACAACCATGCAAACTGCTATATTTTAATTCTGATGATGAAGCAAGTGGGGGGGGGAGGGGGGGAGGGGAGAGAAAGAAGCCATATTGCCATGCTTTAAGTAAGTCAGTATAAGTCAGTATAAAAAGTTGGAAGCCACATTGTATATTTCTTTCCTCCATGGAGTTAATGGGTAACATCAAGGTTGGGTGGACTTGGCCATGGTGGTCCATGCTCTCGTTACATCTAGGCTAGACTACAGCAACACAATCTATGTGGCGTTGCCTTTGAAGACTGCTCGGAAGCTTCAAATAGTCCAACGAGAGGCAGCCAGGTTAATAACTGGGGCAGCATACAGGGAGCATACAACTCCCATGTTACGCCTACCAGGCACAATTCAAAGTGCTGGCTATGGCCTATAAAGCCTTAAATGGCCCCGGCTCAAATTACCTGTCCGAACGCATCTCCCCCTATGAACCAACACAGAGATTAAGATCCTCTGGGGAGTCCCTGCTTTCCATTCCGCCATTGTCACAGGCACGATTGGTGGGGATGAGAGACAGGGCCTTCTCAGTGATTGCTCTCCTTGGTGAGATCAGGTCGGCCCCCTCCCTCCTGTCCTTTAGAAGGATGGTAAAAACTTGGCTGTAGGACCAAGCTTTCGGGACAGGGCAATAAAGCAGCAATAGGAAAGATGACCAGGCCAATTAGATTTGATGCGGATGACTAGGACGGTTTTAAATTGTGTATTTTAATATTTTGATAAATGTTTTTTAATGTTTATGTATTGTATGTGAATTTGTGTCCTGGCATCAAATGTTTGCCGTGTATATGCTATGCTCTGCCCTGAGTCCCCTTCGGGGTGAGAAGGGCGGAAATAAATGTTTTAAATAAATAATAAATAAATAATTTAAAAAGTAAAACAGGGTGAGTTCCTCTATTATACATGATTACTTTGTACTGAGAGTTGCTTTGTACTGAGAATTGCTTTTATACTAAAGAATATCTTACTGTCTTATAACCATCCCTATCTTAGTTAAGGGCAGGGCTACCATTGAAAGAAAGAGACTGTTAAGAGCTTTCCAAGAGCAAAGTAGAAATCCTGCATGTAAGATTATTATTCAGTGCAAGCTGCCAAGTCCAGAAAATTGCACGAATTGGAACGGTTTGAATTCTAGGAAGCTGCACAATAAGTCAAGTGAAGCTAACCGATTGCCTAAACTGAAGATAGATTCAGATGCATAGCTGAGCTGATGAGAAAAGGCCCTGCCATAGGGACTGCTTGTTTAAATGCTCTATCACATCCCAGACAAGTAGAGAACTTGTGCATTTGCAGCAGGTCTTGCCTGGAACAGTTTCCAGCAGTGATCTCACCACTTGTCTGCAATATGTCAAGCACGTTCAAACAGATGGTTCCCAAATGAAAAACAAAAGGAAGATTGATGAAGATACTCAGTACTCCTTGTTGTTTGTAGCCTTTACCATCCACACTCATACTAATTTACTAATATGAAATGAATCTGAAAACATTTCAGACAGGGGAAAAAATCAATTTTGTGAAACCATGTCTCTGGGGAAGGCGTCTGAAAGTGGACTTTTCCAGTCACCTCTAATGAATCTAGATATGATAAGAGGGTCACTTCCTCTTTTTCCAAAATTGTTTCTCTATTGGGGGGCTGAGTTTATAGAAGCATTATGGGTACATGTGCATTTCTCCAGTTATGGTCCCTTTTTAACCATGTGTCGTCTGGGAAGAGTCTAAAGGCAGAACAATGGTGTGTGTATATACCATATATAAATGCATGTGTGTGTATGCAGCCCACAGATTGCATGATTTTCACTCCTACCTTAAAGAAAATAATCCTTAATCTGCACAATTTTAAATAACCATCCATTAATCATGGGCGGTCACCCAACCCTAGACTGACAAAATTCTCAAAAGCTGAAAAATAACAATGAATAATATGCAACACAAATATAGTAAACTTTCTTAGACAAGGTAAATATTTAAATTCTTAATATTGTAGCATTTTCATTCCTTTGCTGTTTCAGTCATTTCTTTGCTGCTTGGGAGGTAATGAAGATAGAAGCTGCCATCTCATTAATTGACCTAGAATGTCAGAGGGAAGAAAAAAACCCTCTAACACAGGCTGATAAAAGCT